TGTTAAAGAAAGTATATTCCTAGCTTGAAAACCTACTTATATGACAATAACAGGCTCATATACATTTTTTTTTAGGACACGTTCCACATTTTATTTACATTTTTAAGATTAATCTCAAAATCACATATCTATACACCTATTTCCTTTTGTTGACTTCACCTAAACTTAAATGCATAGTTTATTTAACAAAGACTGTAAATAAATATTTACCATGTCTGTTACATGTAACACACAGGAACAGCTTTTGACAGAAATTCATCAACCCCCCCAACATTTTTTTATTATAAATACAGGTATCAAAACAATCCTGAACATATTTTTGATACTACTAGTGGTCAGCACCCACACTGCTTCAAAAATTAACACAATTTGTGGCAATATTCATTGTACCTGCTACTTTGAACAGTTTCAAACTGTAGCTCTTTCACTAAGCAAGACGGATAAGCATGCCATTTCTGTTTTTCCTCTTGAGATTTTACTTTTCAGAAACACACGTTTCCACTGACAACTGACAATTCTTGCCATGCTTTGATCTTGTAAACCTGAATTCTATTTGGAGTACTCCAGGTTCATGTTTAAATGACAGTGCCTTAATAAGAGAAATAAAAATTGTGCCACATTTTTCCTCCTGTTAACCTGAAAACATAATGGGTGTACATATATTAAATATATTCTTACAAATGTGCAGGTCATGTTTACCAGCTGGCATTTTTTTTTTACTTAATGTGTGGGTATTTTGCATTGTGATATTTAATCAAGACATTAATATGGGTAGAAGGTTGTTGATTTAAGACAAGTTTGAGATCCACTAATTATTGTATGTTTGTCCTTCTGGTGGTTGTGGAAGGTTCATATTTTCTTTGGACATCATAGACGTCTTAGCTCCTGAAGTACAACTTTAATGCTATATGAAATCTGCCATTTTGCTAACACTGGTATGCTGCGTGCATCCACCAAACATGCAGGAAGCACTGGGTTCAGTCCCTAGTAGAAAAGGACAGGAAGAAAGAGCTCATATACATTTTTAACTGATAAATTATATCAAACATTTAAAGCAGAAAAAAGAAGGAACACTTCTCTCCTCATTTTAGGAAATCAACATTGTGCTAATACTAAAACTGGATAAAGATAATAGAAGAAAAAAGTATGAACATAGATAGAAA